TTTTTCTCTCTGGTCAAAATTTTAAAACTAATAATAATGATAAATAAAATTAAATAATTCTCAAAAAATGAGTAAGTCCCAGCCCCAGTGGCTTGAAAAACACCAGGCACGTGTGCATGTCCAAGTCCTAACAGGACAGAGAAATGGAGAAGGGATTGTGGTGTGGCCATGCCCCACTGGGGAGCTTTCTCCCTCTCTGTCTCTCCATCTCTCTCTGGCAAGCACACACACCCTCTGCCCATTCCTAAGCCAGACTACAGGGACGGTTGTCAGGCGGTAGCTGTAAGGCGGAGGGGACAGTGAGCCAGGGATCGTGGGGCCCCACCTTGACTCCGTGGTTGCACGGCTGAGCTCGTTCGCCCAAGCTCTGAGCCGCACAGAGTGTTTTCGGGATGTCAGTCATATACTGAGAAACAGGAATCGGGAGCAGGGAAGGGTGGGCATGAGCGCTACGTGCATGCCGGGGGTGCCTCTGGGAGCTGGGGGAAGCAGCAGGAAGGAAGTGCACGTTTAACTGACGGTGTGGGTTCACTGGGGAGGGGCGGGGAGAGACAGAGACAGAGACAGAGACAGGGCACCCCGAGGAGGGTGTGTCGGCTCACCAGGGAGGGGCGGGGAGATCGGGAGCAGGGAAGGGTGGGCATGAGCGCTACGTGCATGCCGGGGGTGCCTCTGGGAGCTGGGGGAAGCAGCAGGAAGGAAGTGCACGTTTAACTGACGGTGTGGGTTCACTGGGGAGGGGCGGGGAGAGACAGAGACAGAGACAGAGACAGGGCACCCCGAGGAGGGTGTGTCGGCTCACCAGGGAGGGGTGGGGAGAGACAGAGACATGGCGCCCCGGGGAGACGTGCTCCAGCACAACCCTTCCTGTGTCCCCAGGATCTGGCACTCACACACCGTGCCTGGCACGTTTCTCAGACCGGCAGGGCTGGTCCTGGGACCGCGGCCGGCCATGTGCTCCACCTTGTACACGCGTCCCGGGGCTGGCCTGCAGGTGTGTGTCGTCATCTGTGACGTTTCGTCCTGCCAAACACTCAGGTACAAACACGCTAATGACCAGAAGCCCGGCTGCAGCTACCTGTGTTTCTACATTACTCTGTACCTCCTTCTGTCCTTCCAGTTCCTTCACAAACAGTAACCAGCATGCCGACTTGGTCCCTAACGAGCCCCACCTCCGCCTTCCACTCCACCTTTTTCTCCAAGGTGTGCCCAGGCCGGGGAACTAGTTCCGGGAGGACATGCCTTCACATGTTCCGATGTACACCGAAATGAGAGCCACTGCTGGCTGCTAGGCTGGACAGAGACCGTCCCTGTCACAGGAGCTGAGGGTCCCTCACAGAGAACGTGATGGCTGGGTGGCGAAGGCGTGGCCCGCCAGCTGGTCTCACGGCACAAACCGAGGGGCTCTGCCGGGCCCTGTGGGGCGGGCTGGTCTTCCCATTCCCCGAGCAGACCAGGGGTTCGGCCAGCCCCGCTCTGCATCTCCCACCCGGTTCCCGAGTGCAGGGGAGTGGAGAGGCTGTCTCTGACAAAGCCGGTGCGCCACAGACGGTGGGCCTGGAGAGGGAGTGCCCCGTGCACCTCCAGGTCATGCTGTCTCGCGGGTCTGTCGCTCAGTGAGGCCGGGGTGCTGGCTCCTCAGGGACCTGGACAGCTCAGACTGGCATGTGAGGGCCTGGCACACACCTGCTGCCCGTCACCCCCGCCCCGCCTGGCCGTGAGGCTTCCCGCACACGTACCTGAAGTTCAGGAAGGCGCAGTGCAGAACGACCCGGCTGCTCCTGTTGACGGCTTCGCTGTGCTGCTTGCGCGTCTACAGTGGGAGAAAGGACACAGGACATGGTACTGCGGCGGGCCAGCGCCTGCTCCCCACCCATCTGCACTGGCCATGGCAGCGGCCACCGCGTGGCAGGCTGGGCACCGAGGTGGGCCAGCGCCTGCTCCCCACCCATCTGCACTGGCCATGGCAGTGGCCACCGCGTGGCAGACTGTAGCCTATAGTGGCCCATCTGGTCTTCCTGCTAGAATGTGCACCCTGGAGGGTGCTCTGCAGGCCCATCCCCAGCACAGACACAGTGAGGCATTGACGGCACTGAGGCAGCCCTGCCCCAGGCTCAGGTTCCCTGGACTTTGCCCAGGGTCAGCTCAGCCTACCCTAAACAAGACACGCAGACTCTGAGGGCCCAGCCAGGGGCTCGGAGGTCCACGTGCCACCGGGAGGCCGGGCCTGGGCGCTCATCCCCCGTCTCGGCCTTCCCGCGGGCCTCTCCCACCCTCGCCCTCCCCATGGCTGCTGCGTCGTTCCCAGCATGCCCGGCACCAGCTACACGATCCTGCTGCTCCACTGTCCTCAAGTCTGTCACCCACGTCCCTTCACCAGGACACAGTGTTGGGGGAGGGACCGTGCCATCCAGGGGGACCTTCCCAGCACGTGGAAGACCCTCAGGAACTCTCGCCCTGTGAGCCCGTGTGGAAACACGGTTTACAGGCAGGCTGCATGGTTGCCCTGTCTCAGGGATCTCCCAGAGATTGTGCCCCCATGCCACATAAGACGTCTGGACCCCAGCCACAACCCACATTTACAGACCCCACCCACTCTCACAGGGCCCCGCCCACTCTCACAGGGTCCCACCTACTCTCACAGGGCCCCGCCCACTCTCCCAGGGTCCCACCCACTCACAGGGCCCGCCCACTCTCACAGCAGCCCCTGATGGTATTTCCCACAGTCCCTTTCATCCTTAGGTCCTCTCTGGTCCTGAGGCTGATCCCCACCACAAGCTCCAGAGCTCTCAGGGCCACGGTGCCCAGCAGGTGCATCCCTGTGGACTCAACTTTGCTGCCAGTTACCCTCCCCTCCGCCCCAGGTCTCCAATCGCCACTGCACCATCACCAGTGGTCCCAGACACAGCACAGCCTGGGTCACACCTGGTTCCTGGTGTCCGGGACTCCAGTCCCCCCCGCCCCCCCCATGGCTGCTGCGTCGTTCCCAGCATGCCCGGCACCAGCTACACGATCCTGCTGCTCCACTGTCCTCAAGTCTGTCACCCACGTCCCTTCACCAGGACACAGTGTTGGGGGAGGGACCGTGCCATCCAGGGGGACCTTCCCAGCACGTGGAAGACCCTCAGGAACTCTCGCCCTGTGAGCCCGTGTGGAAACACGGTTTACAGGCAGGCTGCATGGTTGCCCTGTCTCAGGGATCTCCCAGAGATTGTGCCCCCATGCCACATAAGACGTCTGGACCCCAGCCACAACCCACATTTACAGACCCCACCCACTCTCACAGGGCCCCGCCCCCTCTCACAGGGCCCCACCTACTCTCACAGGGCCCCGCCCACTCTCCCAGGGTCCCACCCACTCACAGGGCCCGCCCACTCTCCCAGGGTCCCACCCACTCACAGGGCCCGCCCACTCTCACAGCAGCCCCTGATGGTATTTCCCACAGTCCCTTTCATCCTTAGGTCCTCTCTGGTCCTGAGGCTGATCCCCACCACAAGCTCCAGAGCTCTCAGGGCCACGGTGCCCAGCAGGTGCATCCCTGTGGACTCAACTTTGCTGCCAGTTACCCTCCCCTCCGCCCCAGGTCTCCAATCGCCACTGCACCATCACCAGTGGTCCCAGACACAGCACAGCCTGGGTCACACCTGGTTCCTGGTGTCCGGGACTCCAGTCCCCCTGGACCATTGCCCCGTCTGGCTTCCTGGGGCCCTGGAAGCTGTCTCCCACCCTGTCCATACCTCGAGCTGTGGGTTTCTTTCCCACCTAGAAATGCGCTCAGGGAGCTCCATGCTGAGCCCTCACTCAGCACGCAGTAGAAGGCAGCCCAAGCACGGGCACAGGGCAGCTCTGACACGCAGCGATTCCCCCAGGTGGGCCTCCGCCTTTGCCTTTGACTCCTGACAAGCCGGGCCCCAGCGCGGGTCTGAACGACACGAAGACTCCCGACAGGCAGGCGTGGGTGGCCCTGGTCAGCCCTCCCTGCACTTGCTGCCAGCACCTTCTTCCTGGAGGACACCCTTGGGAGACCCTCCCCTGCAGGCCAGGGAGTGAGCATGATGCCCCACGAGCCCCAGTGACCCCTAACCAAGCGAGGAGGGCGGCCTGCAGGACCAAGCGGTAATGGCTGCTAGGCTGGAGGGTGGTCGGAGGTGTGCCCAGGGGCCCGCCCAGACCTCCCAGCAAGTGCCACACTGCACTCTGCCAGGTAACAGCGACATCCGGCCATGTGAGCCCGGCTCTGTGGTTGTTACCAAGTCACGCTGGTGGTCATGCTCTCTGGTACGCCACGTTAGAGTTCCATGAAAGGGGACCAGCAGTTGGCGTGATGGCTACGTCGTTGGACTCCCATGTAGTCGACCACGGTCCGAGGCCCGGACTCAGTGACTTAAACTCACGCCGGGCGCGTGTGCATACCTGCCCAAGATCCCGAGAGGAGAATGGAGGAGAAGGGATTGCGGAGTGGCCATCCCCCCTGGGGGGTAGTTTCCTGCTTTCTGTCTCTCTGTCTCTCTTTCTTTCTGGCGAGCGCATGCGCCCTATAGCAAAAAACTCTACAAAAAAAAAAAAGAAAGAAAGAAAAGAAAGAATCTCCATGAAAGCTTAGCCGCTCGACTTTGAAAGGAAGGCAGCAATTTGACAGCTCGCCACTTGCACCGAGGAGCTGTCAGGGTGTCATGGGGGTCGTGCTTCGCGAGCTCCCAGGCCCTGAAGGGTTTGCCCCAGACGGCGACTGGCCCGCCATCCTCCACGTCCTGTCTTCCCTACTGTGCTTCGTAAGTTCATAAATAAACAGTTTAACCCAAACGTTCCTGGGCCGCAGACGCACACCTGCACACTTGCCCTGAGTCAGCAAAGAGCACGGGTCGTTCCTCGTCTCTCCTCCACGTTGTAGTGAGCCGCGCGCGATGTGTGCAGACAGGCAGAGACGCCTCCCTCGGTGACGGAGGGACAGACCAGACGCGGCTCCCTCGGTGACGGAGGGAGCTGGGAGATGCGGCTGCCACCCCAGAGGGAAGCAGCCACGCGGCGGAGGCCATTGGCAGTGTCCTGACAGACACCGACCTGGCCAGTACCCGCGGGGAGGAAGCTTGCCGAGCCCCCAGACAAAGCGCATCGGTGCCCGGAGTCCCACCATGCTGGTCGGGCTCCGGCCCTGTGCGGGAGGGGAGCGGGGGACTCGGAGCAGAGGCGGACCCTCCCCAGGGCATCAGGAAACAGATTCCCACCCAGCACGCTCCGTTGTCTTTTGGGTCTATTTCAACATCTTCCACGATTCTTCCTCCCACAAATTGTCAATTTAAAAGGGGGTGGGAGGGCAGCAGGTAGTTGGGGCACTGGATTCCCACATGGCCAACTGCAGTTCGAGTCCCGGACCTGGCAGCTTGGTTTCTCTCTCTCTCTAGTTCTCTCTCTGGTCAGATAAAAAAATAGTAATAATAAATAAAACCACCAATTCTTTAAAAAAGGAAAAGAACTCCCTCAACAACAACAATGTGCCAGCCCCGGCCCCGTGCAGCAGACGTGTGCCAGATGAGCTGCACATTTCTGAGCGGCCCGGGCAGGGACAGGCCGAAGCCGAGGGAGAGCAGCTCCCGGACCACCCATGGCACATCTGCAAGGCTGGACAATCAGCCCTTGTCTCAGCGCTAAGCCCTTGGCCTCATCTCCCTGCTCTGGCCAGACACCTCTCCTCTGGTGGCCTCAGGCCTCCCCACCAGCCCCAAGTGAGCAGAGACAGGGCTGCTCAGGCTGCGTGGCTTGGCTGCCCCACAAAACCCCCTCCCAAAAGCTGGCACCAGCTCGCCTTCCCTAAGGCCCCCTCACTCGGGGATGCAGGTGCCCGCCCCCGCCCGGGGGCATCCACTTTAGTGCATGTACGGGTGTCGTGCGGGTCAGTCGGGAAGGCCACGGGTCCTGCTCACCCGTGCTGGCTGAGGCCATGAGGCCACGGGACCACGCAGACCTACAGGTCCCGCTGGGGTCTGGGCGGCCACTTTTCTCTGGCGAGGGGTGCATTTTGGGGCAGGGTAGAAAATGACAACGAGCACCTCGTTCTGGAACCCCTGGCTCTGGCTGCTTAGGGTGACAGGAAAGTGAGCGTGTGGGTTGGGGAGAAGGCCAGCACAGCGCGAGGTGTGCGCACACAGGCGGACGAAGACTGGGAGCTGGACAGGCACGAGGGCGCCTGGTGGCCCGGAGCCTGCTCCTGGTCCTGGGAGCCAGCAGGTGTTTCCTGGTGCACACGCTCCATGCAGCCCCACGCCAGCCGCACGCCAGCCAACCAGGGGAGCTAAGGCCGGAGGCTCGGGCTTTAGGCCCTGGTCCCACGCTAACCCCACCACGGCGGACACAGGCCTGTGCACCTGCACCCAGGGCACGAAGACCTCCACCTCCTACACTCACGCCATATGGAGCGCCTCTCCTTGGGCCCCTGAAAACCCTTCGCTTACCCACTTCCTCTTCACCCCTCGTCCCCCCGGGGTCACCCTGAAGCTAAGGAGTGGCACGTCCCCACCTGGAGTGCCCGGGCTGGCTGGAGGGGGCGGGGGGAGGCAGAGGCTCACAGAGAAAACTCTCCCAGGTCTCTAGAAGGAGAGGGCCCGCTGCTGCCCCCACCTGGCAGGCTGGGCCCTCGAGGTGGGCTTGTCCCGTGTGCACCGGGGCCATGCCAACATCTGAGCGCTGTCCCTGCCGTGGCACCGATGGGGACCGGCCTCTCAGAAGGCACAGCTGCCCATGAGCACTATAAAACGCCCCTGGGCCGACAACCCGCTATCACCGGGTAAATTACGGATCTGCACCACGGCCGGCGGT